TTTGATTTTTTTTCAATTGGATGACAGCTTCGTAACAATATTAAAACCATTTTAATATATTGAGAATTCAACCCGAGTAAATTCTAGCTATGACCAGCTCCAGTTGTTACATAACTTCAGTTACTTTTTATGTTGTCTTTGATTAAAAAAAAAAATAAACTTCTATAAGTTTTTTTCTTTTACATTATTACAAGGTCATTTAATAATAACTGAAACCCATTAGAACATGGTCTTTGTTATTGTTCTGAAAACAATTTCCGAACAAGAAAAACAGGAGAACGATTTCCGAAGTGGAAATTGAAACGTCAATAAACGTATTTTTATCTTTAATTGTGGCTTATTTCCAGTTAAATAGTAATTAATGGTCTTTGTTGTCTCGTAAATTAGCTCTTTTTTTAGCTTTCTTAAACTTAACTAAGTGTATTACTGTTACTAACCAAAATTTGTATAATTCGTAAACGCTTTTTAGAGTGCTTACTTTAAACCTATTGCCCATTTCTTTTGCCCATTCTTTTTTATTCCTTCACCCCTTTACAGTCCTTTCGAAATTAAAAGGGGTAGGATTTGTTTCTTATAAAAGATTACACTTTAAATTTTATTTTCTGTTTATAATTTATTATCTTGAAATTAGATACTTCGGCATATTTCGACTTTTGAACTCTAAATGTAAATCTCAACCTAGTCGCTCCGAAACTGCGATGTAAACGCATTAACAGCATTAAAAAGTCGCCAAAAACTACGAATAGTGGCAGAAAAGAGTAAGGCGACAAAAAAAACAAAGAAAAATTGTCAAAAGTGTGGAACAAGTGAATAAATAGCACTAAAAGCATCGAAAAAAAAAACAAAGAACATCTATATAAAATACATATCTACTATTAAATCATTAGATTTTGTTTTCCTTCTAAAAACTCTGAGCACAATTAACTAGTTTGGTGCTGGTTTCTCTAATATCTATTAGTTATATAAACTAATGCCTACAATATGGTTAATAACTTAACTAGGATAAAAATCTAGGATTTACCCAACTAAAACGAAATTAAAAATCTTCAACACAATGTAAAAGCTGTATTACTATACAGCTAGGAAATGTTCAAGATATCAGCACCCATAGTACACCAAATAGAAATTTTCATCAACAAAGAGTTATGAAAAATCGGTCGTATATTCTGATCTAATCAAATCTGAAATGAAAATTAAACCAACCAAACCAACCAAGAAAATGCCATGAAGGAAATAAGGCAAAGAAAAAGGAGGTGGATGGGCCACACATTCCATAAACTACCAGATGACATTGCCAGGACAGCGCTGGATTGGAATCACCAACACCGTCGGAAAGTAGGCAGATCGAAAAAAAAACTGGGAAAAGGACAGTACTGGATGAAGGAGAATAAATGGGAAAATCCTAATTTAAAATTAAAGCTCTAACCAGATACAGAGTTCGTTAGAAACACCTCGTGGAAGTCCCGATTCCTCGGGACTAGATTAGCATTAGAATCAATATATTTCTCTTTTAGAATACCTTATATTTTCTTTTATATTTTTATTTTAGTTATATTGTAGGAGAAACTGTTTATATTGCAGGCAATTAAATACGAAAATAAAAAAATATACGTTATACGTTTAGGTAAAGTGAGGGTACTCTTGTGTCTAAGATTAAGATTATGAACGTCAGTTCTATAAGTTACTCGATTGTAGAGATATGGTGGAACTTTCTCTTGAATGATTTTATGGTAAAAACATAAAGCATGTCGTTTTCTACAATTTTTTATATTTAACCACTTGACTACAGTAAAGACTTGACTTATCCTTTGAAATTTCTGAATGCCAAAAAACAAACCCAAACAAGAGTTTTACAAAAATTCAGTGAGACACGAATTGTAGCACGTCACAATAATTTAGTTTTGATAGAATTAGAGCATTACATAATAATGACTTGGTGGAGCTACTTAATAATTTACGGTTTTGATACAGTAATTTTAAAACGGCGTGCTCTTTGTAAACAAATACTTACGTGATATGTAAACCTTAAATCTTCGTCGAACTAAACCCTAGGCTCTTAATCTTTATGCTAAAAATTAAACTTTAATTTCTAAGATAATTCGATTCATGTAGTTTATATTAAATATTAAATATTAAATATTAAATATATTAGCTTATTTGTTTATTTATTACGGTTATAAAAAAACTTGTAATGTCTACTACTATTTGTATTCACTATGTGTTATTTGTATTCACTATTTGTATTCACTATGTATCCAATTTATGGATATCTCTCAGAACCGCGCCACTGTGTTAAGACATCCCAGGGTGGCGAACTTTGATCAGATACTTTTCGGTAATGTTTCCGGAGGCCCTTGGGAATCTGATAATTGTTGACTTATAAGACCTGTCGGTCCGTCTGTCCACTATGCACTATTCTGCTATTAAACATTGATCTAATATAGATGTTCCCTCATTAAGACTGTTTCGTCGGAAGAATAATCTGACGTGGGATGTGCAGATTATATCTTAGTTTATTATTCTCTCCAACTGAATTTCTATGCTTTGCTAATAATTAATTACAGAAAATAATTGATTATATTGTTAGAGTAATTTCTAGTTAGGTTATATTAGGATTTCAAATTTCTGAAAAAATAAAAAGAAATTATTGAGACAAAATCGAAACAACCTGTACACATAAATATTAAGTTTGTAAAATGTAAGCCTGGTATGATAGATATTGAGTGTTTTTCTAAATTAGAGAATTATAATTGTGTAGAATCATAGAGAGACCTAGAGGACATTCACGGAAAAAGGACAATAGCGGTGGTTCGACCACTTATGCAAATAATATGGATTTTGAATATATTGAAGGGGAAAAAACCTGGAGTCACGCTGTTTGCAGCCGCCGACCATTCTGGATCAGACGCTGCTTGATTCTGTACCAGCCCTAAAATCACGGGATTGCCACTTCCGCTATCCACACCGTATCGAAGGTTTGCTTCTTCGCCGTGGTCTGCGTGTTGTGGTCTTCATCCGTAATCCTGGACAAGGGATCCTAAACAGGTGCTAGTTTCCCGAGTCAGAAAACCGCTGGAAGCTGCGGAGGTCAAGGAACGTTTCTTTTTCCCTGATAGGACTCTCCGAAGAGTTCCTACTCGCTACCCCTAGAACTCTTCGGATTTTTTTCCCCTAAAATTTCTAACACCGAAATATGTCGAAGAACTAAAGACCTCGACCCCAAAAAGAGATGGATAGACGGTATAACAGATGTAGCTGGAAAGCAGTGGATGAGAATGGCAAAAGATAGGGAAGCGTGGATGCAATTGGAGGAGGCCTATGTCCAACAATGGATAAACGAAGGCTGAAGAAGAAAAATAATAATTCTGTATACAAAATGTTTGAATAAAATGTTAAAATGTCTTTGTACTGTAAGGCATACCACGAACGATTAGAAATTGTATAAAGCCTTAGGATTAGTGAATTTATTTAGGCAGATATTTATTTATGAAATTAAACAAATAAATTTTTAAGACCTTTTATTAAGAAATGTTTGATTGATGGGGTTTTGGTAGCAGTTTGTATTTTGTGACAACATTCAAATTTGATTGATAAAAAACGGCTAGAATGATAGGGATATTTTGCGTTCTAATTGGTTTAGAAAATATAGAAAGAGTTTTTAGTGGTCGATGTGAGTCCTTCCATGACAAGAAATAGGTAGGTGCTTTGAAGAACCGGCGACGACACTACAGTTTTGCTGATATGATGGTACTTATTAGCAGAGCTTTCAAAAAGTAAATAGGTACACCCGTACCTCGCTATACGGCCGCTCTTTATACGGCATTTCGCTATTACGGCCCTGTTCAATTATGGCACGGTTTCGATTTACGGCCTAAACTGTTTCGCTATAACGGCTTCATTTTGCCATTCTTGCGCAAACGCAATTTTAATGCACAACACGACAAAGAAACTGGATTATGGAAAAATGGAAAAAACTATTGATTATATGGATTGAGGACAATAACCAACAGAGAATTCCAATGAGTCAAATGACTATCCAGGAAAAAGCTTTAACTATTTTCGAAAATTTGAAGAATGGAGATACCGATAAAACTGCTGAAGATATCTCATTTCAAGCAAGCCGAGGATGGTTTGTAAAATTTAAAAATAGATTAAATTTGCACAATTTGAAAATAAAAGGTGAAGAAGCTAGCGCCGATGAGGCCGCATCTAAGGAATATCTCAACATTTTAAATGAAATTATTGGAAGAGGTGGTTATAAACCTGAACAAGTGTTTAATGTAGATGAAACAGGACTTTATTGGAAGCGAATGCCTGATCGTACGTACATTTCAAAAACCGAAAAATGTGCGCCTGGTTATAAAGTGGCTAAAGAACGATTAACTTTGCTACTTGGTGCAAATGCCGCTGGTGATTTTAAGCTAAAACCACTTTTAATCTATTTGTCCAAAAATCCAAGGCCTCTTAAAGGACTAAATAAAAATCAATTACCCGTTATATGGAGATCCAATAAGAAAGCTTAGATGACTAAAGCTACTTTTGAAAATTGGTTCAAAAATTACTTTTGTACAGATGTAAAAAAATATTTGCGAGATAATAACTTAAGCAACAAGGCTTTGCTAATTTTGGATAATGCACCAGGGCATCCTACTAATTTATCCGAACTATCGCAAGATGTCAGGATTGAGTATCTTCCGAAAAATACAACTGCTTTGATCCAACCAATGGATCAGGGTACAATAGCCACTTTTAAGACATATTACCTACGCCGAACTTTCCGACAACTTATAAAGGAAACCGATGATAAATCTTCAATTCAAGCATTTTGGAAAAACTATAACACAAGGGTGCTGTTGATATCATCAGTGAATCATGGAAAGAATTAAAATTAACAACAATGAACAATGTTTGAAAAAAAATATGGCCAGAGTGTGTAAAAAATACCGATGAAGAAATTAATATCCTTCCCGAAATTAGGCAAAACATTTTGGATCTAGCACATGACCTCGCTTGTGAACGAAGGTGATGAGCTTGACATACTTGAAGCTAATAGGGAACCCCTTTCATATGACGAACTCATCCAGTTACAAGCAGAACCAGCAGTTGATGAAGAGACAGAGCCTGTTGTATCGAAACAGCTAACATTAAACAATTTGTCGAAAGCTTTTTCCTATATCGAACAAGGTATAAACATCCTCCTTGCAAACGACCCTGACGACGAACGTAGCACTAAAGTTTCTCGAGAAGTTAACTCTGTCATAAGCTGCTATAAATCACTGAAAAACGAAATAGACAAGAAGGCAAGACAAACAACGTTGGACAATATCTTTGTGTAGTTTTAATATTTTGATTGTTTAAAAATTCTATTATTTTGTTATTATATTCTAATTTATCTATAGCAATAGTAGTGTTTGTCGGCTTTCTTTGGCAAACAGATAAATGCTGATGTCAACATTTCTCCAGGGATGATTCCCGTAGTATAGGTGGCGTTTAACAGTTCTACTATTATGTCCAGGTTTTCCTCGTTGACCAACTTTAATAGCTCGCTTGGTAATTCGTCTGGACCAGCAGATTTATTGATTTTCATTGAGTTTAATGCCTGACTAACCTCTGATTTGGTTATCTCTGGGCCTAAATTTTCCGTTTGGCTATCTACAGATGTACTAGCTTCTCTCTGCTCACGAAATAATTCCTCGACTTACTCTTTCCATCGTGGTAGTTTTTGTTTTTTCTCCAACATAATATTTTCATTTTTATCGAGCAATATATTTAAGGTTCTTCTATTTCCTATTCCGGCTAGTTCTTTGACTTTTTTATGTAGATTAAAGTTGTCATATCTGTTTTGCAGTTCTTCTATTGCTTTACATTTTTCAAAGAAGTAGGTTTCTTCAGCTCCCCTAATTTTTCTTCTTGCGGATCGTATTGATGGTTTTGTTTTTTCTCCTTTCATTCATCAACTCTAAAATTTCCTCGGTCATCCACTCTTTTTTCTTACATTTGGTTGCTGTAAGTACTTTCTTACTTGGCTCCAATATAGAGGCTTTGAAGAATAGCCATTGCTGCTTTACGTTGCAATTATTTCTTGGGTTTCTATCTAGATTTGCATTGATTTCTTGTTAAGTTTATTGTTGTTGCGGCTTTTTTTTTCATTAGTCAAAACGTGCATGGCCTGTCTAATGAATAAGACAACTTAATGATATTTTTTTGCAAAATAAGAAATAAATGATTTTTAGATCATAAAATTTATTTTACTACAACTTTTTTATATAACATGTTAACATATGAATTATAAAAACGTTATTATAAATAATTACACTACTAATAATTTATTGTTTTTTTACATGATTTTATCAACTTAAGCATTCTATATTTAATATCTTTAAAAATATTAACAAAGTGCAAAAAATTATTATTTTGCTAGGGAAAAAGTCATACCGTAATATTAGTTCTGATAAACTGAAGTATGCTAGATAATTAGTGACGTCTGTATATATTCCAGGTCATAGCCAATAAAATTATCAAGAAAACCCTAATACTAGTCAAGTCAGCTGCAGCTATACAAAAATTGATTCCCTTAGAATAAATACAAATAGGGAAATAACATACCTCCCGTGGCCCAACAGGTAATTCACCGAATGACTGCCGGTATAAGCAATTACCTGCTTACCGACCAACGGCTGCGGGCAGATGAGTCGGTAGCTGGTAAGACACTCTTTTGTCCTGGAGCTGAAAAATCGACTGCAAAGGCGGAAGAACCAATAAATCGGTCAACGGAAGAAAAATGCAGAAGGCAACGAGAAACCACTGCATTAAAGACTCATGGAGTATCCCTAGAAATCGTCATGGCTTATAGAAATGACAATTTACAGCATACTAATCATGGTTATCGGATGCCAAGATTCGGCAGGGGAAGAAACAACAGTAACGACAGAGCTTCCCAGGCCGTTAGCCAGCGAAATCCTTGTTCACTAAATATATACAAATCCATCTGCAAAATCGCTACATGGAATGTAAGAAGTATGTATGAACCTGGAAAACTGAGGAATATACAGCAAAAGATGATGCGACTGGAAATCGATATATTAGGAATAAGTGATACAAGATGGGTCAGCTCTGACGAACTTAATCCAGACAATCGACGAATTTATCACTCTGGAAGCAGCGACACTCCACACAGATATGGAGTTGCTATGATCCTAAGTGAAAAAGTAACGAGATCAGTAACAGGATTCGTTTCGATGTCCGAAAGAATGATAATGTTTCAGCTAGTGACAACCCATGGAAAAGTGAACTTATTTCAGATTTATGCGCCAACTGCTGACAACAATGAAGAAGACAGAAAACTTTTATAGCGAACTTCAAAAAAACATTACATCTCGCAGTACCTAGGGATATATCAGTGATCATGGGTGATTTCAATGCAAAAATTGGCGAAGAAAAATGCTACCCTAATTTAGGACCATATGGGCTTGGTGAACGAAACGGCAGAGCAGATCGCCTAATAGAATTTTGCCAGGAGCATAATGTTATAGCCGCAAATACATTTTTTAAATAAACTAAACGACGCCTTTATACATGGAAATCGCCAGCTGACAAATACAACAAAATCGGCAGAAACCAAATTGACTATATCCTAATAAAACACAAATATCGAAACTTAATTCAGCCAGTAAAGGCATATCCAGAAGCAGACGTATCCCCTGATCACAGTTTTCTTATTGCTAGGTGTCAACTTTAACTAAAAAAGACGCAAAAAGCAGCAACAACAATAAACTTAACATACAGAAACTAAAGTCAGAAGAAACAAAAGAAAATCTGATACACGAAATCAACACAAATCTAGATAGAAACCCAAGAAATAATTGCAACGTAAAGCAGCAATGGCTATTCTTCATAGCCTCTATATTGGAGCCAAGTAAGAAAGTACTTACAACAACCAAATGTAAGAAAAAAGAGTAGATGATCGAGGAAATTTTAGAGTTGATGAATGAAAGGAGAAAAAACAAAACCATCAACACAATCCGCTATAAACAGCGTCAAAACCAAATAAGAAGAAAATTAGGAGGCTAAAGAAACCTAGTTCTTTAAAAAATGTAAAGAAATAGAAGAACTGCAAAACAGATATGACAACTTTTATCCACATAAAAATTCAAAGAACTAGCCGGAGTAGGAAATGGAAGAACCTCAAATATATTACTCGACAAAAATGGAAATATTATATTGGAGAAAAAACAAAAACTACGATGATGGAAAGAGTAATTCGAGGAATTAATCGTGAGCAAGGAGAAGCTAGTACACTTGTAGATAGCCAAACGGAAAATTTAGGCCCAGAGATAACCAAATCAGAGGTTAGTCAGGAATTAAACTCAATGAAAACCAATAAATCTGCTGGTCCAGAAAAATTGCCAAGCTAGCTATAAAAGTTAAAGATGAAACAGTCGGCATAACAGTAAATGGAGTCTTAGTTAACAACATCAGATATGCAGATGATACAGTAATAATAGCCGATAGTTTACAAGTCCTAGAAAGACTCAGAAGTAAAATAGTAATGTGTAGTAGGGAGTACGGACTCTCGCTAAATATATAAAAAAAGAAGTTTATAACAATTTGTAAAAACAACCATATTACTAACAAAATATTGATAGTAAAGGGCCAGCAGATCGAAAGAGTAAAGTACACTTACCTAGGAATACCTATAACAGAAAATAATGACTACACTGCAGAAATCAAAGTCAGAATCGAAAAAGCACGTTCTAATTTTATGAAAATGAAAAAGGTCCTATATGGCAAGATTTATTAGCTCTTAAAGTACGCAAAACAAAATGTTACGTATACACTGTACTAATTATGTAGTGGAATCATGGGCGTTAAATCTAGAAACAATTAGACGACTTAACGCCTTTGAAATGTGGACCTATTGAAGAATTATGAGGGTTTCCTGGATAGATAAAGTTACGAACAATAAAGTACTGAGAAGAATAGGTAAAGAGAAGAAAGTTGAACTAACAATTAAAGAAAGAAAGGTATTTCGGACATATGATGCGGGGCGAGAAGTATGGCATCCTGCGACTCATAATGCAAGGAAAGATAGGTGGCAGAAGAAGCATCGAAAGAAGATGAATTTCATGGCTTAAGAATCTGAGTTACTGTGTTAATGATTATTTTGAGTTACTGCTTCAAAAATTAAAATAGCTATGATGACTGCCAACCTCCGTAGCGGAGGTGGCACCTGAAGAAGAAGAAGAGGCGAAAGGTGATATCAGAATCTAATGCAATACATCTGATATTCGCACAATATTCAAAAGGGTGCAAAAAGTTTTACATTTACATTTTCTAATATTAAATTAGCTGAAGTTCAGGTTCACTCTCAGATTTCTGATATATAAACTGAGCAGCAGCTGTAACTTGTGATGAATATTTATCAACAAGAAACTTAGCAAAAAGTAGTACCAACAGAAAAATAATAAAAACAATTATATAACTTAACTTCACAGATATACTTTCAAGGTACTCTGCAGTAAGATTGATTTCATGAACGATATCTGGTAAAACTTCTTCATAGTTACTATAATACTTTCCATCAGTATTATTATTATCCCTACAAGGAATGCCAAACACATTACTAACGTTATAGGAATCACCATTCATGAAATGTACAGGTTTGTTCTCCTTACTGATGCTTATGAGAAGCTTACAAGTCCAGTTATTTCCATTCATATCGATTTCTCTGAACCACAGCACGTGAGAAATTAAAGCTTTCATATTGAAACTTGTCAAGTTATTGTAAGCAATGCTTAAAACTCTAAGATTTTTCATATTATGAAAAATGTCCTCGCTCAAATAACTGATTTGGTTATAACTTAAATCTAAATCAGTTATACTCTCTAAACCATTGAAAACTCCAGCACCAATGGTTGATACTTTGTTATGGCTCAGATCTAGTGTTCTTAGTTGCTTTAAACTTCTAAAACAACCCATGGTTAATTTACTGATTATATTATAGCCTAAGTACAATTCACTTAACTGATTTAGACCTGCCAGCATATCGAAATCTATTTCTTTTAACGAGTTAATCCTTATGTCCAATTTAATTAATGCAGTAAATACAGATAAATTTTTAACCTCGAAAAGAACGTTCTGACTCAAGTTTAGAACTTTAATTTCGGATGGAAATTCAGTAAAGTCTAGTTTTCGAAGACGATTTCCAACAAACGAAACGCCTTCTAATGCTTTAACTTTCTTAAATATCCTAAAATCGAAATTTAAGTCTAAATTATTGTGATCCAGCTCTATAATAGAAATATTCTTTAAATCTGAAAAAGCATCAAGATCCACCACAGATGAGTTTCCTACACGATTATTATTTAAATGTAGATAGTGAAGAGACGGCAAATTCTTTAAAGCATTTTTTAAATTGGATATTTTGTTAAAATTTAATAGAACTGTATTCAATTTAACCAAATTTGATATATTAAACATAGTTATTGAATTATATTCCACGTTTAGTTGTACTAAAGAGCTGGGAAAGTGAGCATCCAAGACAGCAAGTCTATTTCGTTGAAGATTGACATACTGTAGAGCTTTATTTTTACTAAAAGTATCAACATCTAGGTCTATAAGAGAGTTATTATTTAAATCGATGGATTGTATATTAATGAGAGGATAAAATACGTCTTGCACCAAGCTAACAATTTTATTGGAGGATATTTTCAGTTCTTCGAGACTTCCCAAATCTTTAAACGCTTCTGGATGAATATTACTGATTAAATTATTATTTAAGTTCAACTTTCTTAAATTTGCAGCTCCTGAAAATGTCTTTTGTCCTATGTTTGTAAGGAGGTTATTTTGGAGACTGATTACATATATCGAGAACGATTTAAAGGCGTAGTCTTTTATCTTTCTAATAGTATTATTTTCCAGTGTAATAGTTGATATATTGACGCGTTCAAAAGTATTATTGTCAACCACGTCTACTCCAGCTACAATTGTTATTTGTGTTAAATTGAGAAAATAAAACATTTCCTTGTTGATTATCGGTAGGGAGCTGTCGTTGATGTCCAGATACTCGCAGGAACTGTTCATACTTGATCTGATCTGCTGACCGATGTCTTCTTGATCAAACCGTAGTTGTTTACAGGTAACATAGCGATACAGTATTCGTTCCACCCTGTAGATGTTGATCGATTTCTTTAACATTTCGCATGTTTGTTCGGATGGTTTAATTAAGCGTAGAAGTATCAGGACCATAAAGTGACACCTGCAATTATAAAAAGATTTATTTTTTACAAGATAATAAAAAACTATTAGAGAAGGATGGTAAGGAAATGTGGTAAGAAACTGTAGTAGATCGATATATGAGGAAAACAAAGACAAAATACACATTTTTTCGCATTCAAGGGTAGTAACCACTAAACACCAAGTTAAAGTAGAGTCCAAGTCCATTTGGAGAGTTAGCAGGTTTGTGATTGGATTGGCATATGTTTTTGTGTTATCAGCCTAAAGCGATATTTTACTTGAAACATAATAAGGACCATCGCTGATATAAACCGTAAAAAGCAGAGGTCCAAGGACAGAACCCCGAGGCACTTCACTTTCCACTAACGTGTATTGCGAGAAGGATTCGCCAACTCAGACTTTGTAATGTCGATCTACCAGGAAATCATCTATCCAACGAAGTAAAATACCGCGAACTCCGAAATTTTCTAGCTTATGTTGAAGTCTGCGCTTAGGTACATGGTCTAAGGCTTTAGAGAAATCTAGAAATCCAGCCGTTGACCGGCTGCGAACTGTTTGTTTAGAGTAGAGTAGGAGATTGGCGTTTAGAGTAGAGTGACCAAACACAAATCCATGTTGTTGTGTTGGAATAACATGTTCCGTGAGAATAAATTTGGTCATCTCCTCGGAAATAATGCCTTCCATGACTTTGCCAACTATGCTTTCATGCTTTCCCATGACTTGTTGGGGTCGAGTTTGTTACCTATTTTAAATATAGGGGTGACGGGTACTAATTTCCAACTAGGGGGTAAGGAGCTCTAAATGAAAGAAGTTTGCATAATGAACGTTAAGGTTATTGCAAGTGTGTCTGCGTATCTTTTTAACAATTTTGGTGTTAAATCAGGTGAAGCGGCTGTGCGAAGTTTATTTAAGGGTTGTTTGACATGATCCACTGTAAATTCAACTTGCTGTAAGGATGCGCCGACACGATTACATTTTTTTTGTAAACATTTGTGAAAATGCTGAAGAGAGAGTTTCGGAAGATTATTTGTCAGAGAAGCATAAAGTCTGAGTGGTTTCTGAAGAAGGGAATAGGAACTTTAGACGTCAAGGAGGAACGTATGTATTTGTAGACTTTTTTTAATGTTACCACTTTTATGAGTAATTGCTTCAAAATTTTGTCTTTTAGAGTTTTTAGAGACGTTTGTAAGATATTTGAAAATCTGCGGTGGCTTTGGAAATTACTGAGAAGCCCGGTGTGTTTAAATTTCCGCCATAGACGTCGTTTGTGATTAATTTGTTTTATTGCTGTTCGATTTATCCAGGGTTTAAGGTAGGTTTTATAAACCTTACGGAAGGTGGTATTCATAGAAATTATATTGTGGACGGTATCGAGAAATGGAGTTCACAATACTGAGGGGTCGTTTAAGTCTGCAAAAAATAAATGCCAATAGAGTTCAGTGTCAACTTCAGAAAAGTTGGTAGTAGCATATGTTACAATATTATTTTTGCGGGACAATATTGATTGAGCTGGATGTGAGCAGTTATAACTGCATTTAAACCTATTATATCACGCTATAGCCATTTGGGGATAGCAAACATAATTTCACTGTAGCGCCTTCTATTGAGACATATCAAGTGTTCACTACGACAGAGTGTAAGTTTATATTATTTTTTCTTTACTAATAGCGCTGATGTTTATCAGTTTAACCAATGCAACAACAAGTAAAATTTTGTAGGCAGTCACGCCTTGGTCTGTAAATGCGGTACATAGTGTTACTACAAGACAAGTAAAATTAAAATTTCATTTGTTAGCAGTGATTATTATACGCAAAAGTGTAGTTTGGGGACTTTAGGCGGAAGCCGTCTATATAAAATACATGTGGTTTTTTTTTTGCAATAACTATTTTTATTTCAGTTTGTTATGGAACCAGAAAATTTTTTTTCTCAACAGCAGTGATGAAGAAGAAAGTAAGGACGAACACGACTTGCCACTGTCTAAAAGGTTAAACAATAAATAACTTGAAATCAAAACATCATTTGATGCATCAACAAATTTGTATTCTTTACAAAAAAATATACACGACTTTTCAAACTTTTTGTGACAATTTTACTCCTAACGTACTATCATAAACTACCAAGTTAACGTAATGATTAAGCTCTTGATATAGATCTTGGAATACCTGCGGTCGCAAAAACTTTGTCAAGAGACGGATTCCAGGAAATCAAAAGGTATATTCACTTGGTCTTCTTCTTGTAGTTTCTTCTCCTATCGAAGATTGGCCATCATCACAACTGTGCGTACCTTATTGGCGGCTTCTCTCTTAGGTTTCTTAGCCAGGAAATTCTTCGTCTTGCTATGGATCTTTTACCCTTGATTTTACTTTGCATTATGAGCCTTAATATCTCGTATTTCACACGTCTGGTAATGTGGCCTAAATATTTCAGCTTTCTTGATTTGATGTGCTTAATGACCTCATAATCCTTTTGTAGCCTTTTTACCACTTCTGCATTTGTACCTCGTTGGGTCCATGGTATTTTTAAAATCCTTCTATAGCACCACACCTCAAATGATTCCAATTTATTTATATTATTCACTTTTAGGCTCCAGCTTTCCATTCCATACAACAAAATCGAGAACACGTAGCATCTTAAGGCTCTTATTCTTAGCTCCAGAGGAAGGTCTCGATTAACAATGTTTTCATTTTAACAAATGCTTGTCTTGCAATTTCAATGTCTGTCCTTATTTCTTACCTTGATTATTGTTCATTTACACACGTTCCAAGATATCTATAGCTATTCACTCTTTCTACTTGTTTTCCTTTGATATCTAGCCTTCCTACTGTACGTTGCTTAGAAATTATCATGCACTTGGTTTTCTTAACGTTTATTTGTAGTTTTACTAAGCGTTGCAATGCTTCTAGACTGTTTGCAAAAACAGCGGTGTCGTCTGCGAAGATTTTTCCGTTTATTGATATAACCTGTTTTTTTGCTGATATTGTTTTGTTTTCTATAGTTTCTGCATTGACATTTTCGATTTTAACCTTTGCTTTTTGATTCCAGTAAGATTGACAACAACCCGTAGATTCGACTATCCACATTCTTTTCTTTTAACAGTTTTGTGAGTTTCTGATGTCGTACTCTATCAAAAGCCTTTTGATAATCTATAAAGCAGACATAGAGATACCGTTTTATATCTAGTCATCTTTGCGCGAAAGCACTAAATGCGAACAGAGCCTCTCTAGTTCCTGGTCCTTCTCTGATTCCAAACTGGATGTCATCTATATCTTCTTCTATTTTTTTGTATAGTCTTCTATGTATTATTTTGAGAAATATCTTAAGTATGTGGCAAACGATGCAAAAACAACAAAGAAAATGTTACAATGGAAGCCCATAGGAAAGCGACAAAAAGGAAGGCCCAGAACGAGATGGTTGGATGACGTGGAAGATGACCTGAAAACAATGAACATAACACAATGGAGAATAAGGGCACAGGAGAGATCTGAATGGAAGGACATAGCCAGACAGGCAAAGACCCATCCAGGGTTATGATGCCAAAAGAAGAAGAAGATGTGGTTTATTAAGGAAATTGTTCTGTACTGAGAGCATTAGTATTACAAACGTGGACAGTAACTAATCTTAGGGTATTACTCCTGTTGTATGTATGTACTTTGTTGAACAGATCTAAAAGTATATACAGTGTTTCTTCGTCAACTGATTTTACGGTCTTTGCATTTCTAATTGCCTGTTCTAATTCGCACATTACTATTTCCGATCCTGTTTGTTCCTGTGGCTTTTCTTGTATCATTCTGTCTTGCCAAAATCTTAGTTTATCTTTGATATCTGAAATGAGTTTACCATTATCATCTTGGTATCTTAGAGTATCCCCTAGTGTGCTCGCTTCTTGGTATTTGTTGGTTCTTTTATCTTTTATGCATATTAAAGCTGTCATATTTTATGTGATACTCTTCTATGTATATGCATTGATCTTTTAACCACTTTTCCTTGGCCTTTTTATCTTTATTTTAATTCTACTTTGTAGTTCTTGATATTTTATCTCATTTCTCTCTTTGACTTTTTTAATCTCTTCTATTAATGCTAGAATTTCTAATGTCATTTATGTAGTAGATTAGAATAATCTGGATACCCCGGCGTTTTAAATGAAATCCTGTAAATCAACAAAGCCACAGTAAAATTTTTACGATCAGCATTCCAGTAAACAATATACAGAGTTGCCCAAAAGTCTGGAAACGGCTAATTATCTCGTAAAATGCTGATCATAATTATACAAAATTTGAGGTACACCTATTTTGGGATACGGAGATTCCATATTTGATATTTACAATGTTGCCAGATTTGCCATTTTTCTTATATTATTAGTAACTTTGGTTTTTCAAATACATCACCCTGTATATTCAGTCATTATTGGAATCTCCTATTCAATACGAGTTCAACCATATATAACACTTATGATTTTATGTAATCTGGAAAGTCATAAATACATAAAACCCAAGTCTGGCAATGCCTAAATTGTTTCAATAAAGTTTTTAATACTAACTATTTTCAAATACATTAAAACGTAACAATTGATAGTTTAGAACATTTTTTAACATAGTAGTTACGTTATTAAGTGTTTAAAATGTGCTCAATTTGTGAGTTGACAGCACCCTAATCGATGGTAGAAGGCGTCTACCACATTTCTCCATGATTGTCTAGAAATTATTCGAGATTAATTGATAATTCGTGGCCTTAGCTCTGCAAGACTTGCTGGTTAAGTTTTGTAAACTGAATTTTTCAAGTATCCCTAATAAAATTAATCTTTAGGATTGAAATCGGGTGAACGTGGAGGCCATTCAATTCTACCTTGT